GATACGCGTGTGCTGGGGGGCGGCCGCTCGGGGAGGAGGCAGCTCCGATGCAGTGTGGACTTCGCCTGGCTCCCCCGGAGAAAATCCTTCGCTGTTTTTACAGAGCTGCCCCTAACCGGTGCGGAAGGAGTTATGTTTTTGTAAAATGTGCCTACTATGGCCTTGCGTTACTAGCCTATCTGTCTGGCGGGTGCAAATAATATATATATATATTTTTCCCCAGTCAGTTTTCTGTACTATTTGTTGCATGGCGTTTTGATATGTTAGACTAATTATGTTGTAGGTTAGAAAAAGAGGAGTGTTTAAAAGTTTATACTGAATCATTCCTCTGCAGATGGACCTATGACTGACTCATAATCTGAGAACTGCAGTGGCTTGTAAAATAGGAAGGTAAGGCATTTGCATCTTGAATTATTTGTATCTTAAAAGTGTCTAAGATCTGAATTGCTTGCTGGAGAAGAAGAGAAATTGTATTAATGCTAAGAGGCGTACCCTCATTCCAGCCAATCCAAGTGTGTGTGACATGAAGGACACTATGTGTATCTTTATATGGATCTCTGATAGGTATTAGGACCTTTTTTTCATCTTTTCATGTTTCTGTAGTGGGAAAATCTGGGAATTTCTAATGATGGAATTTGAAACTTGCAGTGTCTTTGGGTCAGTGACTTTTCTAGACTGTTGAGATCTAACCGAATCTTATATTCCATGTGATTTTATTTCTTCATTAGAACCATGTATTTTTCGTTATAGGCTCTCCTGTAAACGCACGTAGTATTATTATGTGCTAATGTGAAGTTACATTCACAGACCAAAAAGGAGCCTGTGTGTGGGATATTTTTTTTTTTTTTTAGTATATGATGTGAATGCATATTAGCAGGATTGAGCTTGAACAAAAGAAACAGTATGGTTTGAAATAGCTAGTAAAAATCTGTATGTAAGATAGCTCCTCACTTGCGTAGAAGGTTGGGATTAATAGCTACATTGGTTATTAGAGTTATGACTACAGACATGAAAGGGCAACGTATGTTACATGTTATAAAATGAGCCTTTTGGCTAAAGGCATATATAAATAGCAATCCGTACGCTTTTCAGTGTGTATGGAGTAACGTAGATGTAAATGTTGTATTTATTGTGCCTAGGGAGAAGGTTCTTGGTTTAAGACAAAATATACTTGAGTGTTTGGACTGAATCAGAGTTTTTATGGTTGGACTGGGAAACCCCTTGTAATACAGCTTGATAACGGAAACATTGATGTATCATGGGTTTGGGCATTGTAAGCAGACACCACTATAATGTTAGAAAAGTTGCTTTGTTCCAAAGTGAAAATGACTAGATGTTTTACTGAAATATGACTTGATTAGAAGCTTCCAATAATAGCTGAATCTAGGATGTAGAAAAGCAAAGCATATTCAATAGCAAGGCAAATTAATCCTAATAAAAAGAGGATGCTAAATGACTCAGTCTTTAGGCTTCCCTGAAGTCCTCCTGTAATTAAGTTGATACCAGTTTTGAGAAGCAGTTCCAGTGTGGATTCACAGGGAATTTGGTCATTGTATTAGCATATTTACTCTTGGTATTTTGGAAAACTGTATAAGATGGCAGTAGTTAGTTATCATCAGCAACAAGAAGTTCTGTATGAAATCTTACCAGTCCATGTTAGTAGAGTTTGTCTTCTAAATGATTTTGATATCTTGCTGTATTTTGTATCTTTATAATTATTTTTGACCATAGTGAAAAGTTTAAGTGAGGGAAGAGGAACATATTTTTTGATACTCAAGTCCGGTTCTTCTGTTAGTATATATGACAAAACTAAAAATAAGAAAATCCAGAAACCTTAATTTTTAATTTTTGTTGTTAAATTACTGAATGTAAATACATTAGAAAGTAAACAATCATAGTTCTGCAGATGAAAGTTAAAGCAGTTTAAAAGTTGGAATGACTTAAATCTAATCCTATATCCTAAATTGGCTTGGTATGGATAGGTATTGCAAGAATAATTCAACATTTTGAGCTCTAGTATCTTAGGTGATGCAATAGTTGGATTTCACTTTTTTTTTTTTTTTGATATAGAAGTGTTTCTTAATTGACGGTGCTGAATCTTATGAAGTCTGAAGGCTGCTCGTTACATACTGGTTTCAGATGTCTGTGTTCTTGTGCATGGTTCCTTTTAAGAATTGCCAAGACTTAAATTTTTTACTTAATGGCTGTGGGTGGGTACTTTCTGAATGCGATACTGGTATTTGAAACCTCCTGGCATTTTTCGCCTATGGCTCAGGAACACCAGAAGTGGTTGGGGGGAGTGAAATTGGAGATTTCAAGATGTGGGATGGGGAAAAGAAGCCAAGGGAGGGAGACTTGTGTATGTTCCTGCAGCAGAATAAAGGAGTGATTGTAGCATCAGAGCCCTGTAGCTGTGCTAGCTTTTATCTAGAACTTCTTAACGTGCAGTGATGTGGTGACACAGAAACCAGAGCAGTGGAAGGCTGGCAAAGAGAATATAACTGGTGTCCAGCTGCTGAAGACCATCCTCTCATACCTTAATAGATCAGTAGAGAAACTCAGTAAAAGTTTGTTTTAACACTTTATAAATGTATTTCTTCTTTCTGTCTCTTTTATTTTTCTTAATGGGAGAAAGAGAAGAATGAGAGATTTAGGAGGAGAGGAGAGACAACTTACAATGGAAGGTGGATATGTATCGACAAAGTAGCAAGAGGTGACCTCTTGGTCTGTACTAATAGGAAAGAGGAGAAAATAAAATAAGTTACTAAATCAGTAAGGATTTACAGTACTGTACAACAAGAAGACCTAAGAGCTTAGGGAGGAAATAAGTCAACAGGTCATTTGATGTTGGAAACTGTGATATAAGTGTTTTTTTTGTTTACTCTGTGAGGCTTTTTTTTTTTTCTTCTTTTCTCCTTGTAATCTTTTCTACTGGGCATTGATGCAAAATCTTTGCCACTGTGACTTCAGTTGCTACTGACTGTTTGTTGGCTTTGTAACTAGGTTAACAGGGCAAGTGTCTCTAAAATTATATACAACAGCAGTAGGTTGCTAATCCTCTCCACCCCTCAAAAATGTTAAGGCTTTGATTTCCATGCCATTATTCTTCCCCGCTGCTCTACTCTGTATATGCAGAGTTAAAGTGTGATTTTGGTAGAATTCCACATTCTGAATTTTGTCTAGTAAATGGCAGCATGGGAAAGGAAGTCTCAACATGTTTGTAGATGGAGAAAGTCGCTGTTAGAGATGTGTGATAACCTCCTTCCTGGCTCCTTGCTTGAACTGTTAGCCAGGGTTGTACTTTGATAGTAAACTTGAATTTTACAAGTGGCTAGCGTTGGAAGCGCACTGGGCGTAGCAGAAACGCTATTTTTGATACTGTCATAAAGTAGTCATTTATGAAATAGATTTCTCTGATATATTAAGGAAACATACTGCGGATTATTTACAATGATTAAAAAATTGTTAATAATTCTGTAGTATAGCCTAAACACTCTGAAGTAAATGTTTCCTTTCACATAGCATCAACATAGCAAATGTTTCAGAAAAACATTAGTGAAAAAAGTCATAAAACTTCCATTTTCAGTGCTATAATGTTGTCTGTATGGAAGCTCATAATTATGGAAGTTTAACATTTGGAGTAATACTGAGCTTTTGCCTGTCTTCATGGTTTCCACATGAATAGGAAAATGTCTTGCAGAATATAATGTAAGATAAGCGCGCTCAAGATAAGCTTGAAGTCCCATGATTTTCTACGGCTTTCTTGGGTATCTAGCAAAACAAGTTGATTTTATTTGGTCTGTCTTGAAAAGCTTGTCGCAGATGCAACTATAAGATAAGAAATGCCTTCGTAGCTGCTACTGCATTCCCACAATGCTTTGACATTTATGAAGAAAGAAAAGACGGTCCATTGAAGATATCGGTGTAAAAGCTAGGAGACGTGGGTGCTGTTTGTTGTTATTATAGATGAATGTAAGTCATTCCCTTAGGGCCAAACCAACAAGGGGCTTTGATGTTGCAATGCTGAAAGATGTGACATCAAACCCGGGTCCCGGGGCAGAAGGGGGATTCCAATCCAAGTTTTCTACTTCCCTGGGGAGTATTCTCATCATCAAGCCACAGGCCAGTTAAGGGTAATGTCACTTCCTTCTCTTAAAACTCTTCTGCTATGCCAGGAATAATCAAAAATTCAGTGTGTCTGAGAAATGGGGCAGGAGGAAGCATGATCATGATGTCTTAGTCAAGTGGTTAGGACAATTAACAGGATGAGAAAAGACAGATTCTGGTGATTTTTTTTTTTTTCCAGTGGTGTTTTACTTACTTATTTTTTTTTTTTTGGTGCATTTGAACTTGATATTGAGATTGCTGGGGTGAGCAGCCTTGTCGAGACAGGCATTTTCTTAAGCATAGAAAACATCTTGACTCTGCTGGGAAAACAGCTTACCAATATTTAGGTACCTTGGGGGTTGGGTGGTAGCTGGTTGGGGGTTCTGAGAACAGCTGTCATGCTGTTACTGCTTTTTATGAGTCTGGCCCGTGGCTCATGGTTGTAGCTTTTCCTGGTCTGTAAAATGGGAATAATGGTACTTTCCTACTTTCTTGACAATCTGAGGACATTAAAAATGGTAAGGTGCTGAGATACAACAGAGCAGTACAAGTGTCATTCATCGATAAGTGAAATGAATTGCAAGTGCTGTATGGAGGCATCCTGTTCTGTCTTCTCTACAATGCTGTACCATTCTGCACTGTTAGCATCATGGGGCAGGAAACAGTATGTGCTTGACAGCTCTCCCGTTGTTGCGTACAGCGAACGTGGTGCCATGTGAAGCTAAGCATACACGACAGAATTTGTCAAAATGATAGTTGTTCTGATGCTTGTACTTCTTCCAAACTTTCTACTTTGGATGTTTTAGAACAGTAACAAATCTTTTCCTTTGTACAGAACCAGCTTACTCGCACAATACATGTGCCTAAAATAACTTTTTAACAGCAAAGCCCTGGCTCATAAGCCCAGTTTTGGCGATGTGAATGGAATTTGTTTTGTAAGCTCGTATATGTGCTTGAGAGAGAATTAGGACAAATTTTAGGAATTTTTGTAATGGAATTGTATCTGGTACTTGTTTAACTGTCCCCTCTTACTGTCTTTCCACAGAGAGTTTCCTTGAATGCTGTGGCTTCTGACTATTTAACAATCCACCAATTTAAGTCTTAATTTTGCATAGGAAACATAGCCTTCAATTTTTCATTCAACTTCTGCTAATTTTAATCTCCCTGGAGCCATCTTAAATGAATTCTCTTTCTGCATTATATGCTCTTCACAACAGAGACGAGCATTCTATTAGTATCTGTTTCTCTCCCATCTTAAATTACTGTTTGGCCAAACAATAAAA